GAAAACTTTCTATCAATAATTCTATTTAAAAACCTGTTCGAGACGGAAACCTGTCAAACCGGAAAAATATTTGATACAGTGCGGTTCTTATTTACACAGGTTTTACTATACATAGCGAATTCTTTCGTATAATAATATTTAAGATAATAGAAACTATTTGTGATAAAAATGATAATATAATAATATTATTATACAGATATTTATTGTTTATTTTAAAAATGAATCCAAACTACGCTTTACGTAGATCAATGGGCTGGTCACGTGGAGTTTTCTTTACGTTTGTAACACCTAAATAGAATCAGTTGTTTTTTATAAAAGTCCTCTCGTGATGAACCTCCACGTGTCACATTGCCTATACAAATAGATCAAACAAAATCCTTAATGGACTTGCCAAAATAGGCCCATTTTAGTGTCCACAGGGAGAAAAGAGTTTTAAAAAATCCATTGATTACACTAGTCAACACGACATTTTCTTATATTTTATTAGGGTGTTTTTAATGTTGATTATTCAATTAATTTCAACGTGTTTGAACATGTCTAGACTTATTATATTGCGTTATACAATTGAAACTCGCCCATTTTAGCTTGGAAACGAACGAAAATATGATATTAATTCGATATAAAAAGTACGGTTGGGATGTCAGTGCTAATCTCTAAATAGCTGTTCTACTTGGTTTACAATACATAAAATTACTACTGTTCTTTTTACGAATGAGAACCAAGAGCTTTGCACTATATTGTCAAGAATTGGCCACTCAGAAAGCAATATGTATACCGGGAGAACCAGGGTCACGGAGTTTCTGTGGGCCCCCAAATTAATCTGTTAATGAGAGACGAATAATTTGAAAGTCCATAAATGACAAAGAACTTGCAGCATGGAGTAGTTCTAAAAGCACTAGCGCAAAACTTTCTAGGGAATAGATCTACGAAGATATTGATTAGGTACCAATGTGAGTTTGAAAATAAGGACGGGTTTATTGCCCGACAATGTTCGTGTAGAAAGTGAACACCAGGCAACACTTTCCTCAAACAATCTGCCACGTGATGGATGTCGCTTCATCGATTTTGACGTCACAAAACAGTCAACAATCCATGTTGGACAGCAAAATCATGTAGTGTTTCCTCAGCTTAAGTTTTCTTTCGTCCGAATCTTGGTGAGTTCAGAGATGTCTTCCATCAATATGTATAGAGGTAGGAGTGACTGACTGGGGGTTGATGCTATTAAATTTTGGTGATTAAAAGTTGAGGTGTAGGGAAACAAAAAAAGGAGGTCGTGTATATCTCCAGTAGGATCGGATTTAATGATGATTTACTCGTTATTAGCATTTACAAAAATGGACAATTTGCGTACCGAAAACCGCAAATTGTCCATTTTTTCAATGTAGTTCTATAGCTTATTTGCGTGATTACACTAAAAGCACACAATTCAAGATTTTGTTTCAGGCAAGGCACTTTGCATTTTGAATGATTTTCCTTTAAATTTTTCAGGGGTTGGTTGGAGCAATCGCGATGTAACAGCGCCAATGTATTCGTATTTCTAAAACATTATGGTGGCATTTTAGTATCCAGGTTGTTCTTGCTGGCGTAAATACGATGAATTAAGTTTCGTACATACGACATACCGTTTTTTTATACACAAAAAGGGATATACGCGCTCCTTTCTCCTTTCTTTTTCTGTATGATTGGCTTGTGGTTCTGATGAAATTTCAAGATGGATCAAAACACTATTGAGTTATATCGATTGATGTATCTGAATTATTATACAACAGCTTCAATAAAAAGAAAGTTTATATTTAAATCTAACGAAAACTTATATCAAGGTAAAATTATTACTAAATGTTACATTATAAACTATTACTAAATAGTAACTAAAATAGCGACGTCCAAAATTAAATTATTAATACCTCAAAAATAATAAATGAAACACTGCAGTCATGCCGAGACCAGTTAGAGTGTTACGTATGCCATTTACATAAGTAACATAGTAATTAACATATGTTATAATATACTATGCCACCGATTTAATGTGGAGAACATACGTTCACTATGTCAGCTGCATCGCAAAAAGTTTTGTTGTCGGATATTTTTCCATTTCGTCGTCGAGTACGGGCATTCTCAGTACACATCGAGTTTCTAATTGTTTATTTGTAATGTCGACCCTTGCCACGTATAATAAAAAATGATACCATAGATTTTAATTGAAGTTAATTGAAGAAATTAGAATATATACATGTCTATGGAAGAAATCACTAGAAGAATACCGGAATAAAAATATTAGAGACAATACTTGCACCTACTTTCTTTTCCGTTTGTTATTATCGCTATACAATGAAAGCAGCAGCAGATCGTCAGAATCATCACTACTCTCTCGGGGCACATAGCATAGTGCCCCGAGAAAGTAGCATATTCCATAGCATAGCGCTTTTTCTGGCCCCGGCATTAATCACACGAGTGTCGTATGTTTCGTTAGGAAGATTACAATAATTCGATCATCGCTAAATATACACAGTTTCATTTACAGATGGGACTAGTCTCACTAATATACCAAATGCTGCTCACTCTGTTTTTTTTTCCATTGGGTATGCGTGTGAAATTGCATGCGAAACGTCAGGTTTCGATAGCCTCACCAAGCCTTGGCCTCATGTTTCACACGCTCGCCATCTTTTGATCGACAAAGTATTAAGACCATGACTTGCGAGTTTTCTTGATCTATTAGATATACTCAATTAGAATTTTCAATTTCGTGAAAAAAGTTTATTCTTTAGGAAGGGTAGGCTTAATCTCAAAAACCCCTTAAGCTACATTTAAGTCGAAGCATGTATATGGTAATACGTAAAACTTATTCTTAAATTCGTCGTTTGATGATATCAGCGCCCTCCAGTAACGGTTGCGTAGACTCACTCATTGCCAGCGTAGCCTGCGTCATACTAAAGGCCTGTGCATCTGGCTTGGCATTTATTAGAGAGGTTGCGGCCGAAGTTCGAATGTTAAACTTATACGGCAAGCAGAAGTACACGTTTGATGTCGCGCCACACGTTCACGTCGCGCACTGACTCATGGGATATTGTTGAAAAATGGCGGAAACGTTTAACAACGACGAATGTTACCAGCGAAGGTAAATAAAAAATTAAACTATTTTAAAGTATTTATAGGATGTTTAATAACACTAAATAATTATTTTTAATTAGAGTCGTGTCTCTTACCGTACGATAGGACTACCTCATACTTTTGTTGAGGGAGTAGTGGCAGGTGACTTATGTAAATCCGAAAGCAACTCGGGAAATTATTTTTAGAAAATTTACAAACGTATTACGCTGTTGATTGTAGAAGATGCCGTGAAACAACAAACCTACTCTTACAGAATTATGATAAGCTATTATGAACACAAATATATGTAAATTCTATAGGCACTTCACATCACTTGCAAAAAAATTAAATAATTAAATAAT